GGGATCTTACATGCATGAGTCATCTCTAGCGCTTTATTATAGAGACCAGTCCCTTTGGACTGGTTGTGTGTGTGGAGTGAGGTACGTGCACAGATCAGCAGTTTTAAGGTAATATGTCTTATGTTTTGCTAGCCGGATGAGTGTTGTAAACCACACTGCTGTTTATAGTATGTAATAGACATCTTGCTTGAAGCGTTTGTATGCATAAATTCAGCCGCAAACTTTGCACACGAGCAGATGTAAGAGTTTCGAAGTCGAAAGCAGTTTATAAGAGAAACACCACAATTAATAATTTTTTCTATAAGCAAACATGCAAGTGATGGCGAAAGATGTGGGAAATTCTGAGACCAATGGGGAGCCAAACGAATCATTATTTTGTTCATATAAAAAGATGTTAGTCAAGATATGATCCCAGTTAATTTGAAACTTGACTTTAGAAAGACATGAACTGGAGCAAAAATAATACATACATAGCAAAGTATATGGAAGATATTTGAGCTGTCACTGAGCATTAATTGCGTATGCAGTTGAGATTGACTGGAATTAATTTTGGAGTGACTGAGAAGTAGATCAAAGCGCAACTTCAATAAAGACTCACCGTACATTGCTTCAATGATTTTACACACCATTTGTTGTTCTCGGTATAACATGGACATCTTACACATGTATATGCTAGAAAAAGACGATTTAATTATGATAGCTGAGTGAGACAACACAACATACTTGGCTCGTGGCCTGAAACAGGAAATTGACAGATGGTGAAAGAATGGTTGAGCAGGACAGTCGGGTGATTACATCTCTAATTTGTGCAAAGACCTAGTTTAGAACTGCTTTTATAACTATATTGGTTGCTCGATCCTCTTTTTTGTACACTTTGAGTCCCTCCTTCCGCCGTGCTCTAGATAAAGCGACGTATAGTTGGCCGTGAGAAAACACATCCGTTGCCAGGAAAACTCCTACATTCGTCAAACTCTGTCCCTGAGCTTTGTTTATTGTCATCGCAAAGGACAGACGCAAAGGAAATTGCCGTCTTCGTAGTCGGAAAGGAACCCCCGTGTCATTATAATTGTCGATGCGTGGAATCAACACGAATTTCCCTTTTCTATCACCGCACGCGAATCGACATCCTAAAACAAAACGGCCGAAGTGAGTGACGATCAGCCTAGTTCCATTGCACAACCCATTTCTGACATCGAGATTCCTCAGAAGCATCACTATCGAGCCTTCTTTCATTCTGAGCTTGTGAGGGGGAAATCCGGCAGGTGCCAGGCTGTTCAAGAACTCGCTGGTATAATCCGTTGACTGGGAGTCGTCGCTAATCACGTCGTCTATACTCTTATACTCATGAAGGACTCCGGGCAATTTTTCCAAAGCCTCTTCATTGATCCTATGTGCTTCTAGATTCCGCGGTGTCAGTATTGCACGTTCACTTAGAGTTTCAAAATCAGTGAGTAGATCACCGAAGACCTCATCAATGAGGTTTCCACTAGAGACTATCTCCGTCGGAAGCTGTATCCGACCCATTTCGTCCTCACTTGCTTCTCCATTTCCTACGCTCATCAAAAAATCACACCAAGAGGAGCCTGACTCTGCAGCCCTCATGTTGACCGATAAACGATGCATGCGAAACTCTTTCCAAAGTTCACTATTTTTCACGCATGCATCAACCATGTCGCATACTCTTCCACGCTCTATAATCGGCAATACTTGTCGGAAGTCACCACCTAGCACTACTGTTTTTCCTCCAAAAAGCTCAGTTGTGCACATCAGGTCTCGTAGAAGAAAATCGACTGCTTCAAGCGAACATCTCAGAACCATGCTAATCTCGTCCCAAATGATGGTACTCGCTTCTTTCAATATGGCGGCTTCCTTGGACTCTCGACGCATTGTGCATTCTCGGTTGCCAGACTTCATGTTCAGTTTGAACGTGGAACTGGCTGTGCGACCTTCAGGTAGAAGGTTTGCGGCGATACCTGTCCAGGCTACGCAAACCACGGACTTGCGCTGCCCTTTCAAAATGTGGTATATGGCGTTGTACAAATATGTCTTTCCGCTACCTCCAGGGCCGTCAACGAAATGAAGTTTACCCCGTCCAAAAACGGAAGAGGCTAGAATGTCGTCTGCTGCCAATTTCTGTTGATGATTCAGACACTGGTACATCTCCTTGCCTTTTTGATCATGGTAGGAATAATCAGTCTGATCCGGCAACACTGGTCGACTCTGCGCAGGCAGGGGAATCCTTACAGAGAGGTCGTAGCGGAGAGTTTGCAATCTATCGTACAGGTCGAAATAAGCAAGTGCTTCAGCTTCATACACCGTTGATCCTCTGTATACAAAATCCTCGGCCATGTCACTTTTGAAGCGATCGTACAGATTCCGTGGATCAGAAATCTCACAAAACGCCAGCATATAACTAAATAGTGCCCGCAGTTCCGCAGGCATTTGAAATCTTGCAGCTTCCTCCAAACAGCTTTTATAGTGAGAATCATCGTGCAAGAGACCCAAAGCACGTGTCGCATCCAAGAATGTTAAATGCAGACGATCCTCAACTGTACGAAGATCCTCGAAAGAACGCATATTTTTCCGGTGAAGGAGTAGCATGCGTAAACTGAACCTCTCTGAGTCATTAGGTGGAACAGTGTGCATGCGGCCGATTTGACGATTACCCCTTTCTCTTCTTTTCCATTTACGTTCCTTTACAAAAGTGAAATGCTCTGGTAGCTGATGGTAGTGGAGCGTTCGCGGGTCCACCAATGTAGATCCTCCAGCATTTTCTTCCATGATTTCATACTCACTATTTAGCTTGAACCATGCTGTAAGCATAGAATCTCTGGCTGCCTCGCGCACCGCTGCCTCACGTTCTTCCCCTGACTGGAACGTCACGGTTTGGAAATCGGGAAGATGGACTGGCAAACGGCAAACAGTGTCAGATTTGAACTGGCACTCATACGAGAAGATATGATGCAATGCTTCCGGTGCGCACACATAGCGGGCATCAAGATGAGCCCTGATCTCGTCAAACTTTTGGTTGCGATCTTGCTGCAAAAGTCGAAGTGAAGCTCGATCTGGTCCTTTATACACGTACTTATATAAGTACTTCACTGCCTGTAAGTAACCGCATATTTCCAAATTTATGTGTGCGTTGAGGAGCAGCAGGAGATAGCGGTTGTAAGGCACAACGTGCCTGTTATCAAATATTTTTCCTCCTGTAGTAACGGTCAGTCCATTGTCGGGTCTTCGGTATTTAGGATAGCCGTCTACATCAACATCTGTCGTTTCCCGGAACTCCTTGGGGTAATGCTTTGAGCACTTTCCATTCATCATACATGGCGCAGTCGGATTGGTAGCTCCACTTTGGCGGTGAATCATATTTTTCGCAACAATGCCCAGAAGACGGGGGTTCTCGGAGGGGCCTGGAATCTGCGCTTGAACTGCAGCGTCGACGTCTTCGGGACTCCTCGGTTTTGCATCTGCAGTCATTATGAGAAGCATATGACAATGAGGAAGTCCACGTTTTTGCCATTCTACAATTCCGACATGAGCTGCAACGGACCCCAACACTTTCTTCTCGAAAAGATAGTTCTGCAATACTTTCAGCTTTCGCTGGAACACACGAGCAACCAAGTCACGTCGGTCGGAAGCGGACTGGCCAGGAAACAGATTTTCGTTAATTTCTCTCCACTGGGGGTTGCACGTGAACGTCAGAAAGTAATCAGGTTTGCCATATTTTGCAACAATAGACATCGCGTCTTGATAGGACTGATGCATGGCACGGGGACTTCCAGGAAATGAAGATGGCAGAATGACGCGCTGTCCCGGAGGACCATCTATAACGTCACTGGCCAAATGATCCATAAGTCCTCTGTAACTGTCGACTCGGAGCTCCTTCTGATGTGTGCGCATATAATTCAAACGGTTCTGCTCAATCTTCACATATGCATCAACCACAAATTGTTGCAGAAGTTTGCCGGCATAATGAAGAGGGTTGAAGGAAGATCGCAGTGCAAGAAGGCTGGAATAAAACTCGCGCTGCGTGATCCTTGTGCGAGTGCGGCCGCTCGGATTCTTTGTCAAATCAACATGCCAACACAGTCCTCCCCTAGGAAACAGCAGCGGGTAAGTTAAAGGGTCGCAGCAACCGTCGATATCTCGAATGAGTTGTAGACCGTCTCTCCTGTGATGAATAGCAAGCGCTTGGGTGGCCGGAACGTCATTATCCTCTCCAACATAAACAACCGCTATTTCATTCGCTGCAGGGACATTATAGCGGCGACGGTCGAGATTCGAAACATCTTCGAAGATCATGCGAATCGTCGGTACCTCTCTTCCTTCCGCCTGAGCTCGCTGCTCCTCCTCCGCAGCCACATCCCCCATCATTCTGAATGAAGCTGCATAACTGTTGTGAGTATGAAGCCATGATGTTAACTGCTGCATCACATCAGCATTGCATTGCGCATTCGCTGGGTTACCACTCCTTTCAGCCGCTGCAGATTCTGTGTCCAGTATGTAGACTTGACCAAACTGTGGACGAATTCCTTGCTTCGGTGTTACGGGACCAACATAATGATACACTTGGCCATGGATCCTGTAACAGTATGGCCCAGAACCACGCGGGGTATCCATCTGAGCTCCCATTGAAGCCATGGCAAGGGCACTGTTATAGGATCGTATGTACTGGCGGAAATTCTTGCAAAGACTGTCAGTTCCGGTGAAGAAGGAGTGAAAAAGCTCCGGAAATTCCGAAAACAAATTCAAAGAGATGTTGCCGAAATTACAGCAGGCGTTGAAACATCCGCTGACGCGTCTAGCCTCACCCGAAAAATAAAAAGCTCCACAGTAACTGCAAGTCACTCCCAAAGACCCCAAATAGTTCTCCTCTACGTTGTTTACAGTCAAAGCTATACGTAAATTGGGAATAGATCTTTGTCGGTGCTGTACAGCGTTTCCAGTTGCGCTTATCTTAATGGATTTTCATCACGCTGAACACGATTTGCTTATGATTATCGTACCTGATTTTCAGCTTGTTGTGAAATGATGGTGTCATTGGGTAGAAGTCTCCCCGATATATATCCCTTGAAGAGAAGTAATAAGTATGTTAAATGAAACTATCGCAATGCGAACCCACCTCGCTTTCGTCTTCGCCTAGAGTGGCTGCAAGCTCACGTTCATACACATTAGGTTCCAAATTTTGAATGATCGGAAAGTTGCAGTTTTCGTTGTTGGTATCATTCCAGCACACTCCCATATCGTGTAATGGGGTTCGAGAGCCGCGGGTGACCTAAATTGAAGGTAAAATACAAAGTAAAACATAAACAGGTTTCTTTAAGATAGAGCTGCTAGTTGCCGTACCTCACTTGACTTTCCTAGAGGCATGTTCACGACTTGGGGAGTTGAAGCTCCTGAAGCATCACCCTAAAAAAGAAAATCTGATGGAAGCGAAAGGGACTAAACTAATTTATCAACCTCTTCATCTGCACCCAGCATATTTGAAATTGGACCATGTCGGATTTCCTTGTTTTCATCAGAACAAAGCGATGTAGTGATGCGGCGCTCACTCGAGCACTCCATTAGATTCGTCTAAAGCGTTATCGTACATACGCCTGTATGCACCTTGAAAAACTTACCTGAGTCAAATTCTGGCTGGAAGTAGCCTCTTCGCTCACACATGTTGCATTGATCTAAAAAGGAAATCATCATAATAGTGCACTGTTACTGATGACTGTCTTATTAAGACGCTTTGTGAAGGGTCGTGTGAGAGTACATTCAATGAAACTTTGAATGCACGCTTATCGAAAGTTATTTTGCGGAAAAAGAAAATGCATGCCTACCGTCCTTGTGCTTTCTGTTGCAGTATATGGATCAGAGCTCTGCTCCTGGCTTCTCTCATGATCTTTGCTATGGGCAGATTTGCGCAAGAGCTGCAGGCGCTCATCCGGCGGTTCTGATCTCCTTTTCCTTACTCTCTCCGACATTTTTGCAAGACGCGCAGCTCTCTGCTGTTCGGTTTCTCTTGACCTTCTCAATCTTGCCCTTTCTGCATCGGCCTTAAGGCGTGAGGCGCGTTTATCTGCAGTCTCATTGAATCTGCTGAGTGCGACTCGTTCCGCTTTCGTTTGTGGACTTTGTGGACCCTGCGAATATTTGAAGAGGTTTTCATTCGAGTTCTGTTTTTGTAGTTGCTGCCATGAACAACTTGGCTGCTGCATTTGCGATGAAAGCTGAAATTCAAGCACATGATAAATACACATATTACGGTTCCATTTGAATTTTGGAGGCACCTCATGCGTCGAATTTGCCGATATATCGGAGCTATTGCTAGGCTGTTCACCCTTCTGTAAAGAACTGGTATACCTACTGCTAAAGAACAACTCAATGTACAATTCTTGCCTCTGTCACGTCTGTGGGTAGTTTTCTAGAGCACCTCACTGAGTCTTCAGCTGTTGCGGCAGCTACACAGAAAAATACAGCTTAGGCAACACAGGACATGTTAATAAACCTACTTCATCTATTGCTGATTGCTGCCCAGGACAATACACTATCTGATGCTCTGACTGCATTGGACTAAACAGTCTTAAATATGAGTTTTTAAAGGAAAAAAACACCCGAGAAATCATAAGTAGTCTTAAAAAATCGCATCACGCATAAGAATTAGAACGCTTATGACTGTACCTATCCTCCAGCCCATTTGGCAATTATTTTCTACACATTCATGGAAGCTTTTGATTGGAAGTCTGTGCTTAGTATGAATAATCGGCCTCAGTCTGATTCTTAGAACAATTTCGAACCTATTCCAAAAAACCACTCTGCATTCTGAGACCCAAAACGGGACTCAAGTGTACGATGCTTTTGAAGAGAAAAGGATCATTTTTTACAGAGATTCTCAGAGAATCAATCTATAAATATCCCAAATGTTAAAAGAATAAAAAAAATACTATGGGTTGGATGCATGGCTCAGATATGTTGGCTGAGAAGCTCAGAAGTAGGTGGGAATTGCGTTTCGAAACCTTCGCGCTTGCAAAACGGTTCTTCCAAAGTTTAGAAGAGGAGGAAGATCAATTTAGCAAAAGAAGTAAGCGCTTCCCAAACATCGCAACTTGTCTGGTTCAAAAGTGCTACTATAGAGGTCTTTTGATGAATGATTCGAATAGGTATGATGGATTGGATAATGATCAAGCAGAAGACATTTCCAGGACTTTTTAAAATTCACAGCATTTAATGAAAATTCGCATGGAACCACGGAGTTTTTCGGATCATCTCTCAAACGTAAGGAAAAGAAACCTTGGGGTTACAGATGCATAGACCTGCATGTTTTGATTATAGCGGTTTTTCTATTGAATAAAGGGATAACTAAGATGAGATGGATTGATAATTCAGAGAAATCTCAACAATTTTTTTGAGAAAAAAACATAGCATTCAGCTCAGATTTATTCACACGGATTATAAACTTTTATCTTTTTGGATCATTTTTCAGTTGTAGAAGGGGGAAGAGAAACACTCGATTCACAAAGCTGGTTAAGCGTGCGTGTCTAGATCTTAGCGTATCTACTGAACGAATCCGATGAATGGTACAAAATTGGAAAACCCAAAAAAAGTTGCAAGAATTTTCTAGACATCGCAGCATTCGGTTGAATATCATTTGCATAAGATTACAGAGTCTTTGGAGATCATTCCTCACATATAGAACAAAGCCTCGGAATTTTAGAGACAGGACTATATGTTTTTTGATCAAAGAAATGCTACCGAGCGTTAGTGAATGAATCAGATAAGTAAGATGAAATGGGATGATAGTCGAAAGAATTTCAACAGGATTCTAAAGAGACAATCAGCTGAAAGTCTTTCACGTGGAATTACAAAGATTAAGAATAATCTTTCGAATGTAAAAAGAAGAAGGATATCTTGGATTTACATAGGTAGGCCTGCATGTAGCGATCATAGCGGTCTTTTTTACAGAGAATGGATAAGCAAGATGAAGTAGAATTTATAATCAGCAAATATTGCAACAATTTCTCAAACATTACAGCATTCAGCTAAAAATAAATCACAACGGATCAAAGATTTTCTGAGGGTCGTTCTTCAAATGTAGAAAGAATGAAAAGAAATTGGGTTGTCGGTTAAATTTACACGTTTCGTTATCAGAAAAATGCTACGATGCCAATCTCTCTGACGAATGAATTTAATAAATCAGATAAACTAATTGAAAATCAACCAAAAAACTTTAAAACGATTTTTTATTACCATAGCATTCAGCTAAAATCTTTAGATGCAATGGAGAAAAGGCTAACAGTTTTCAAATTACATCATTCAGTAGAAATTCAGTTGATATCGCAGCATTATCTGACAATGAGATCATTCACGTAGATTTATGAAATTTTTGGCTCATTCTTATAAAGCTGAAGACAGAAAATTGACTCGGGTCTGTGAAGGGTTGCACATCTTTCGTTTTGACTGAAAGGACGGCTATGCCTAAAACCGATTAAATTCGCATGCAAGTTCACATAAATTTAAATGCTTCAACGGCTCAGACTTTGAGCAAAGTCCAATTGCACAATGTCCATAAAGAGCACATTGAATCGCAAAGCATTGTAACTACATTTTTACTTCTAGTAATTCCGTTTACGAAAATCATAAAAATTTTGAATTGTCGGGTCCACATCAGCTGTCCCTCCTCTTGGAGCGGGTTGTAAAGCCCGCTGGAGGACAGTGACCCCCGACGACCGCTACCAGCAGGTTGCCCCTGCGGCTTCTTCCCCTTTTCCCCATTTCCCCTCTATTTATCCTAAATAATAAATATTAGTAAATAAGACTCTTGTACTTACCGCTACACATCAGGTAAAGGACCTGCAGACCTTTAACCTGACATGGAGGTCCCGGGGATATTCTAGGTGAAGGTCGTGTCTGCTCGCAGTCCACCGGATCCATATCCTCATTTCCGTATGTATTTTAACATATCATCACGCCAACTGTACGTTCTCGCCGTAAATCACGTGTAAATTCCAACACACGTTACCCGGAAGAACTTCTGCCATATTTCGATATATCACACTTCAATTGTATGTTCTCGCCGTAAACTACGTGCACACTTCAACGCACGTCACTCGGAAGAACATCCACCACATCAACGCCAACCACCACAACGTCTCGATACCTCAGCCATGCCACAAGCTCGAGGACGAGCTTCTCGAAGGAATGGAGATGTCGGGTCCACATCAGCTGTCCCTCCTCTTGGAGCGGGTTGTAAAGCCCGCTGGAGGACAGTGACCCCCGACGACCGCTACCAGCAGGTTGCCCCTGCGGCTTCTTCCCCTTTTCCCCATTTCCCCTCTATTTATCCTAAATAATAAATATTAGTAAATAAGACTCTTGTACTTACCGCTACACATCAGGTAAAGGACCTGCAGACCTTTAACCTGACAGAATAGTGATTCATTGAACAATCACAAAAGGCTAATAATGTTTGCAAGATAACAAAATTTCACTGTTTAATAATAATTGAAAGAGCTGAGAATGTAATTGATAGCATTGGCCAAGTCTTAATGTAATGATGGTTTGAATTGTTATTGATCCAGAATGTTATTTGTTGGAAAATTCGAGTAATAAGAACGTCATGACATTCCAATAATCACATCCCGTAGAAATGAGCGAAGCATAAATACTGAAGATGAGCTAATGAGATAGGAGATGATGTAAGATTCTTGGCTTAACATGTGTGCGCCTCTTTTGCAGAAGCTGAAAAATAAAATCTCCATGTTTTCGTGGGAAAGAAATATGTCATTGAAGCAAAACTCATAAAGCTTAATGAGAATATTTTTCTAAGGCGTGATTCGAAGTTGCTTTAATGGTGAGATGTAGAGAATGTCAGTCTATCCAATCTACTTAGTGATTTTCAAAATGAAGCGAATACCATCAACGCAATAGGAGCAATCATTTCAATGGCTCAAGTGGCGTTAGTTTCGTTGCTCGTGACACTTCATAAACATCGCTGAGGCGCATATTCGAAAATGTCTAAAGGCAGCGTTGATGCTCATCACTTTGCACTTTGCCTCGGCGCACTTGCCATTAGTAGTAAACAATTGCAGAAAAGACATTCATGCTATCACTTTGCACTTTGCCTCGGCGCACACTGCCATTAGTGGTAAACAATCGCGGAACAGACATACATGCTGACTCACATGGGGGTGCTAGCGCTTTATAGATAGTAATGATATTTTACTGTACTTGGCAAAATGCAAGCGTTTATGAGTTTTTGGTAGGCAGTAGTAAAAGAAAGTGTATATTAAGTAGTGATCATTGCATTGACATATGTTAATGAAATGATCACTACTTAATATGTAATGATTTCTTGTTTACTACTTCACTCCTCCAGATCCGCGGACCACGGCAAACGAGGAGACAGCAGACTGAGAAAAATTATGATGAAATACAATTTTTTGGCCTTGAATTGCTGCCCCATGATGGACTTTATTGGTCTTTGTGAGGGTCTTCGGGACGATATTTTCGTAAGATTATAAGTCAAATTTCGTACGATCAGCTGCTCGTGTTTTCCAGACTGGTCATCACAAACCAATTGTAAACATCTCTTCCAGCGGTGATTTGCGTCATTATTCTAGACAACCTCATTATCGCTGTCTCCAATGACTTTTGCAGTACGTACTCGAATGTTCCACTGACCTATCGTGCTTTCCTCAGCTGTCTACTTCAAATCTCAAATAAAATCTTCGTCAGACTAATTTTCCGTTAAAAAGCCATTCTTCTCATGCTAAAAGCTGTGTACCTCACATTCAAATGTGATTTACCAAATTATCCGGATTTTTGGTGACATAAAGTAAATACATGTTTTTCAAAATTCTTTTCGAAGATGTTTTGAGACCAAAATTTCCAACATCCCCTGAAACACAAGGTTTCAACCCTCCCCAATTCTCGAATTTCGACAAGAAAAATAAGTAATGCTTCCTGGACCTTGCCCTACCTGCCA